TGATGTATTGGTGTGTGGCAGCATAGAGCATTGAGTCTGAGATTCAGCCGTAAATGAGAGGAAGATGTTGCATGGGTTGGATGGTAACATCCACAAATTTTCTTGTAAATTTCGTGTAGTTTGGCGGCGGTGGCGGTGGCGTCGGTGTTGGTGATCTTTTGAGTGTTGCTTTAGCTCGGGGCTTGTCATGACAACAAGTTTCATTAAAGTGTTGAGTTTTTCTGGAAGCTTTAATTCAAAGGTGTTTAAATTGTAATTGTTCTGCAAAGCACATTGGGATGGGATCTAAGCGAAAATGGTGTGGGTGAAATTCTTGCATCAATGGGAGGCCCAAAATGGGACATATATGAAAGAGCTACAAAAGATCTTCGAAATGGAATGTGTATGAATATTTATATCGAATCGGATGAAGATGTATATCGAAACCTAAATAAAAATATGAACCAATCTCGTAAAATGGCAGTGTTATATTCGAGCTATAGCTATAAATGAAAGGGATTTTCAACAAAATTTGAATCAAACGCTTTTAGGTCGAATTCCGTCGAAAGTACCAAAACTCAGTCCATTTCGGCTGATATTAGCCATTTGGTGCACAAAAAATCTGAAATCGGATAAAGATGTATATATGGAAGCTATATCCTAACCTGATCCGATCTCACTAAAATTTGACAGAGGTATTTTTGAGCTCCATAAGTTATTTGGTATCATATAACATTCTTGTGGAGCGGACGAAGTATATATATATATATATATATATATATATATATATATATATATATGTATATATATATATATATATACATATATGGGAGCTATAGCTATATTTGAACCGATTTATATATATATATATATATATATATATATATATATATATATATATATATATATATATAAGAGATATATCAAAATTGAAACTGATTCTCAACAATTTCAATAGGGTTCGTTCTTGGGCCAAACAATTCATTTCAATCGGATTATAAATTCAATCTGCATTTTGTCTATGAAGATCCTCAGAACTAACTATGTGCCTATCTCGCCTCCTTTTCCATGTTACAAACGAATGCACAAAGATAAAATACCCTAACCACAATGTGGTGTAGTGTATAAAAAAAAGTTTAAAATGTTATTTTGTAATTAGCTACTGGTTAATGGTAATGAGTTCGAAATATTTATGACACACCTTACATACAAACAGCAACAGTACACAGAATCCATACATTTTTATATTAAGATATTTTTTTGGCCACACAATGGAATGACGGTGCAAGGAAAAATTCTCAAACACTTGGTGTTGCTCTTCTCATATAGTGTTCAGATTTTTTAGTTATTTGGAGAACGTGCTTCAGCTTGAGACTTGCGTAAAGGATAGTTATTGATTTTATACAACATAATACAGAACGGTGATACAACAAGGTCCCGATTTTTTTACCCTTAGTCATATCTGTAGCCATATGGGGTATGTATAATTTGATATGGTCAAAACGTGCCTCACCAAAATCACCGCTTTAGAACTTCTTAGACCAAATCTGTCTCAAGACATTTACAGTCGATCTAAGGGTGTCCGTCTCTCTGGCTGCCTAAAACGCACGATAACCCTCGAAGTGAGAATTCGATATGGTCAGCATTTGGAACATCGTAATATTATTTTTAAACTTAGACAGAGTTCGGAGATGAGCAATATCGGTCCACTTCTGCTTCTGGTACCTCCCCCACAAAGGTCAAAATTTTCAAAGAAAATATGTTAGCTCATAGAAAGAGAAAATGAACAATTTTGGCCCTCTCCATCAAATACCGATTATCTTTCAATTACGCACATAACAATATTTTAATAAACCGAAGGTCTGGTGTGAAGATGGAATATATCGGTCCACTCCTTCTGGTACCTCCCCAACAAAGGGTCAAAATTTTGAATATCCATGAAGCTCATATAACGTGAAATTAATATTCGATTCCATTCAGACTTGCTACATCTCAATATTTCTATCAACATAAGGACTGTTATAAAGATAGTAGAGATCCGACCATTTCTCCTGGTACCTCCCACACATAGTTTTTTTCGAACAATTATTGTACACATAAACCAGCTACTTCTCTCAACCACAGACACCAACAGTGACATTCATATCAAATTTCAGGACTTCAGCTCTATCCCTGTTATTTCTAAGCCACTCGTCCGACAGCTGTTAAAATTATTCCAGTTACAGCTCATTTTATTATTGTCAAGCTTACAAAAGCGTTTTGATGAGAATTTTCCAGAAAAAAAGTTATTCGTGATGGAATTCAAGCGTGATAGTTTGAATTCTTTATATTTGGCTAGAAAACCACAAGTAGCTATCGGCAAATGTTGAAAAATGAGCTCGGGGTAAAGCCATTGAAATTCCAAAAAGTACAAGAACTTACACCGCGACAGAAAGAAAAAGTACTCAAAAGAGGTAAAGAGTCGCTTGGCCGAAAGTGGTGAACTAATGAATTTGGTTTGTAAACAAACTAAATAATCGAGTTTACTTGCCATAAAGGTCAGCTGAAAATGTGCACCTTCGGTTGGCCACCAGAACTCAAACGCCGGCCGAATATTATCGCGAAAATATTCTGGAGGGTGTATTAAAGCCTTGGGCATGCAAGCATTTTGGCAGCAGACCTTGGACATTCCAACAGGACTCAGCACCATCGCACTCAGCACGCGCCACCCAAGCATGGTTACAAAATGAGGTTCTACGCTTCATTTCCAGCCACAATGGCCAACAAAATCTCCAGATACCAATCCTATGGAGTATTGTGTCTGGAGTATTTTGGAAAGCAAGGTTGGAACTAAAAAATACCAAAGTGTCGATCACCTCAACCAAGCGCTTCGCCGGGAATGAGCCAAAATACCGCAGAGAGACATTCGGGCAGCGTGTGACGGTTTCATTGGCCGTTTGAAGGCCATTATTCGTGCCAAAGGTGACCAATTCGAACAAATCTAAACTAATTCTAAAATCTGATGCTATTTCCGACAATAAAATTAGAAAAAAATGTAAAAATTATGTTGTTTGATTTTGTTGCAGTTTTTTATCTCACCCTGTAAGTTACCGCTTGTCTTTCTTTGAAAATTCGTAAAGAGAAAACTGTGTTTGTGGCTTTAAAAATCTATAAAGTTTAAAAATTCTCAAGCATACGATAACACGTTGCTTTGACAATCTGTATAGCTAGATAGAGGAAGTTTTCCTGTAGAAGACCTATAAGGATTATTCTTCTTAGGGAAGATCTGTAATAGGCCTCTCATCTATAAACAACTAAAAGAGGTTGGAGGTTGTGGACCTATAAGAGGTTTTCTCTTGATAGAAAGCCTTAATAAAACTAAAGTCATATGTCAATAGAAAACCTTTAAGAGATTTTTTAGAGAAGATCTGCGAGAGGTATTTTTTGAATAGCAGAGGTGCATGGAAACATTTTTTCTAAAACCCTTTTTTCTCTGAAAAAGTTGCAGTTCCAAAATAAACTAAAATTTTTCTGCATGTAAAATCTTCCAGAACGTTTGAGAATTAAATTCACCACTGCCATCTTACCACCTATTAATGCTGTAGTCATAGAAGTTATCTCCTCAGAAAAACGACACACACACACACAATTTAATATTTCTGTTTTCTTGTGGCTGAGAGATAATCAAGGCAACAATAACACAAAAATTCTGCTGACAATAGAAAAGAAGAAGAGGAAGACAGCAAACGCAACAGAACAGCAGTCATAAAATTTTCCATGATAAAGGTGCCACAAAGCTGCGAAGTTTCGTCAAATAGCAAATGAAGATGACGTTTTCAATGAGACTACATTCATAGCTCTGCCATTTGGATGGCAATGCGACAAACATTGGACAAGCGTGTGTTAGATGCGGCATTGTGCGCTGTTGTTTCTATTTGATTGCATAGCTACAGCTTATGGTTGGACCAGGTTTTGTAGCTGCCGCAGCAGCAGCTGCTGCTCCTCTTCCATCTATGGAATTGTTATGTGTGGTAGATGCCGGCAAACATCGGCAACATCATTGCTAAAGAAGACGAAGCAACGATCTTTTGACTGGTGCGACTACCGATGTTTATGCTGCGTCAGCGTTTCTGCTTGGCTGCTGAGGATGCCGTTGTCGCTGCCATTGCTTACTTATGATCATGATGATGATAATGACGACGACAACGATGGGCTTTGGAGGTTTCCTTTTGATTTCAAAAGTTTATTTCGTTTTGAAAACGTTAACTATTAAGTCGTGTTTCGCGCTTCGCAACTTAGGTGCGTCTTTTTTGGTTGCAAGGCGGGTAAAGTTTGTTTCCTCTAAATTAAAAAAAAATCTGTGATTTTTGTTAACTCTTTAAGTGTTTTGTTCAAAACATTCTAAGTGCTGTCTAGTGGAGGGTGGCAATGATGTTGTAAAGATTTCAAGATGTCTGTAATGGTTCGCATGTGTGAAGTGAAGAAAGATTCCACAAAGATTTTGCATTTGAATTCAATTTCCGCTTGAGTGAATGCGTCCGAAAAACCCCCAAATAGAAAAAAAAATAAACGTTCAACACCCGAGGAGCAAAAAATCCAAAACCATAACAGACTTTGTAAATGAGCAAAAAAAAAACACAATTTAATTATTCGGCATTTAAACAGAAAAATAAAGCATGAAGAAACCCTTAAACAACCGAACAACTTGAAGTATTTCTAAATCATTTGTGACAAACGGAAAATCTCTTTACGTTCCCCTAAACACAATTTGCATGCAACACTGAGAAAAAAAAAAAAGAAATAAGCGAAAAAAATTATGATGATTGCATAATTGTGGAATATGGAGTTTTAACGCCCTCTGCTTTTCCGCTTTGGTGAAAAATAAGAAGAGGAAAAAAAAAACATAAAACCACTTGGTGTTGACCTCTAAATGTTATGAGTTTTTAGTGTGTCATTGAAATGAAAAGTGTTTATTTTTCTATTTTATTTTGTTTGTCTATTTTATTTCCAGTGTTAAGAAAATATTAAAAACAACAACTTAATATTTTTTTTGTGGAAAGCAAAAAACGTAACAAAAATTAAACTAACTTTGGATTATATTTTGGATTACCTCAGCCATAGTTCGAGTGCTTGATTTGATTTGTGCAACATGTTGCGATTTAATTTAGCCATGTGCACCTTTATATGTGGTAAGTGTATGCTTTTATTTATTAATTTTAAAATTGCGTCAGATTCCATTTTATTATATATTTTGAAAAAATTAAATTGAAAATTTTGAACGTTTTAAAATTGAAAATTTCTTAAAAAAAACTTAATAAGAATTTCCGATATTCAACGTACACTAAAAGAGTTCTTGCATACAAAATTTTAACTTAAATTTTATTTAAGTCAATTGTCCTTAAAATCCTTAAATTTGGGGATAGGGTTACATGGTTGATGTACTAATACCTGGATACCAGTTACGAACCTACCGGTTACGAACCCAAAATTCCAAATTGTATCCTATTTAATTCAAAATATAATTGGTAAACCCAAAAGTAATCAATATTAATATATCGAATTGGAGGCCTCGGCTTGAAGATGTAGCCAGCCTTCCAGAGCACGGGGCTTAAGTCAAAATTTGAAACGAATCTGAAAAATGTCCGTAAACGGAATTAGTTAATCAATTCAGTTGAAATTGAGTCTAAAAATTTCCAAATATCACATTTCAAAAGGTACTTCAATGTGGAGGGCTTTATTGAAAAACAAGTAAAAGAACATTAAGTTCGGCCGAGCCAAACTTTTAATACCCTCCACCTTAGGGTAAAGGAAACATTAGAAGAAATGTGGCAAAAACCATCAAAATACCGAATATGGGGAGGTACCGTTATATGGGGGCTATACCAAATCATGGACCCATACATGCAATGTTTAGCCACCGGAGCTAGAACCCATTATGACCTACAAATACCAATTTTCAGACAAATAGGTGAAAAAATGTGGCAAAAATCATCAAATTGCCGAATATCGGGAGATACTGTTATATGGGGGCTATACCAAACCGAGTACCTATAATTACAATGACTCGCCATACGAACTGGGACCCATTATGATCTACAACTACCAAATTTTCAGAGAAATTCGTAAAAAAATGTGTCAAAAATCATCAAATACCGAATATTGGGAGGTACCTTTATATGGGGACTATACGT